ACTCCTATATACAAGTTTTTAGCGGATTTGGTGACTTAGGCAATTTAAAAATGAGCTCGGTGCCGAAATTTCTGGAGTCCAAACGGCATTAGCCCTACCAATGTAGCGGTGCTCCAGTGCTATAGACGGAAACGCAGCCAGTCGATTATCGATCGACGCCGTTCGCCAGTGTTTTGACAGTACAGCAGGATAGGAGGGAACCGCACTGAGTGGTTAGGCAGTGCCTACCCTCCCATTATCCTACACTCGCTCAGAACACTAGCGGCCGGCGCCGATCGATACCTCGCTATGGCTGCGTTCCTGGAGCGTTATTACAATGGTAGCGCGTCGGCTCGCGTCACCGCGGAGTCTGAACGCTCACTTGAGTCACGTCACCCGCGCAAATGATTGAGTAGCTCAAATGATTCGGCGATGCCGCAAACTATGAACGCTGCCTTAATTAACTAGCATAGGTACTTCATAGTTTCGCGCGCGGGTCACGAGACTCAAGCGATTCTGCCGGGGCGCGTTCGTCAACGCTCCTCCGCGTTCCACAACTAATCGCAAAGCCACGGACGCCGTTCACAATATCCGAAGCGTGGCATAACGCGCGCGCGAACTAGAAGCATATTCCCCGAATAAAATGAACATAAATCGCGACTTGGCGTATTGGAAGAAAGCGTTCAAAGCGAAAAGGAAAGTATATGCATCGATCTCGCGGTATGCAAGAGTAACAGAATGAAAGCAATGAGTATAGTTGTTTGAAAAAGAAACTCGTAACGTTTTTTAGCTTAACAAAAACCCCTCCCCCTATGACGATGAACGCCAAACGTACATTGGTTTCTTTCAATCAGGAGTGGACTTCTTTTTTTTCTCTAGCAACTACTATACGTTAATGCAGTTGCCTTAGTAACATTCCAGCATTGATCACAAGCCAAACCCGCTACTATTGAGAAATTAAAGCAAGTGAAAGTGCGAAAGAAAATCAAATAGCAGCTCAGAACAAAAGCATCTACAGTACCGAAAAGAATTGGAACCAGCCTGAAAATCGGAATCTTGTCATTCTCTGATTTTTTCAACCTGGGCACAAGACTATTTCTCTATGGATGAGATGCGATCAAAAAAAACTAGTATTGTTTGCAGTGGACGGTGGAGCAAGTCAGGAGGCTGGTGCCGAGATTCCCGCAATCATCGGTGAAAAACAGGCTAACGCCACGACAAACCCAGCCCTCTGACACGCCCTGGCGTCAGCAGGAAGCAGAAGTGTTTGTATTTCTGAAGCAGCAAAAAAGATCTCAAGTAGACCCCGAGACCACAAGGCACCAAGCACGTCCGGGA